AAACTTTTTATTTTTTAAATTAAGTCGCTCTTATCATCTTATTATATTCGCGAAAGAGTAAAATTCGTTCTTATAAAATGATAATCTGTAAACACGGGTACTGATGTATGCCTTGAACCAGCATATTCATCTGCACTGAAGGGCTGAGCTAAAGTCACTTCACGTAAATACCAGAATGAGTTCCTCCGCAGGTAATAGTTTTACAAATCAACACTCAACAGCTGGTAGTGGTGCACATATTTGCAAAAAAAAGTGAGAGCTTTTCAAGTTGAAAAGTTAGATGGAAAAAAAGGTGTGTAGTGTTCCTTTAAGACATTTCAATTATCAGAATATCAATGCACTGGAAACAAAATATTCCTAATATTGTGTCAATACGCCTTATTCACGGCAGCGCCATCTTTGATTTTTAATGAGAATGAAAGCGAGGCTGTGAGGGATAGACTTGCATCTCTTCAATGGGCTGTATTGTTATTTAATGTGTTTTCGGATTGTTCTGCTCATGAAACACTGGAAAAATATCTTTCCAAGTAATTTCAGTTGACAAAAAACTCCCGACAATGTAAGCTGTGAAAAAAATTAAGTAATCTAGCTGCTTTATTCAGCTTTCTACAGCGGATGCCATTGGAAACACGGTAAGTCTATCCCTCACAGCCTCACTTTCATACCTGTCATGGCGCTACTCTGAATAAGGTCTATTATGCCTTACCTGTGCCTCTAATTTTTGTTGCAGTCTACCCATCTCCTGCTTTGAGACCTGTAACTCCTTCTCCAAACGTTGACATTCTAATTTATACTCCTTTTTTAAGGTCAAAAGCTAGACACACAAAATAAAGATGTATTCAGAAACTAGATTTTCTGACCCTAAAATACACATTCTACATATAGATTACATGCACGTAAAAATGTTCAGATGAATCAGAGAATAAAAAAATAGTGTATATTCATGTATTTACCAGGTCTTGGCTCATACGGAGTTCAGACTTGCAACTCTTCAATTCACTGTGTAACTGATCACACTCCATACACTGTCTGCAGAGAGACACACACACACAGACATATATTTCAGCCTACATACACAGTCAGTGAAAGTATCAGACATGCAGTCAGTCATTTTGAGAATTTGTACCTGTTTATTTGACTTTGCTGATCTCTGATCTGCTCTTTCAAGCACTCTACTCTTCCTTTCAGACGCTCCATCTCGACCATCATCATCTCCTTGTCTTCTCTTAACCTTTCCACCTGCAGAGGTTTTGAACTTCTCCTCTCATCTTCTGGCAACCTGACACAGAGAGAGAGACTCATTTTTAGTTAGACCCCTAAAATCACTAGACTGGATTCAACAGGGCTTGTAGCTTGTTGTGTTTTGTGTACCTGTTGTCAGAGCGCTGCTGTAACATTTTCTCGCTTTGGTATTTGTGATGGACAGACTGCCATGCTTCCACTCCAACAGTCTCTGTCCAGGCAAGCCCCTCCGCACTGAATTTAGAAGGGGGCAGAGCTCTGAAAGGTGTAGACTGTGGCAGATCTTGGTTGGGTTTGGCCTGCGAAGCTGCGGACTGGGGCACAGGACCCCCAGTAAACTGATCAGGTGTCATCAGAGGAGAGGAGTCACAGACAGTTGCTGGGAGACACAGAGCCTGATATTAATGTACAAAATACAGAATGACAGAAAGAAAGAACGAAAACCTTGACCTCTAAATCTCTCTTTTGAGTATGTGTTTCCCGAGCATCTGGGTGTCTTTTTATCTACACATTCACATTTAACATAATAATATTACAGATGCCTCGCATACAACACAACAAAACTGCTCATTATCTTCCAAGTTTGTTATGTTTAACCACCGTTCAGCTTTCTTCCAGTTGACTTTAACCCTGTAAAACCTCAAAATGAAACAATAGTCATGGAAAATGAAAGTTTATAAACTTTATTGAACCTTTAGAGACCATAGAAATATGAAGGCTTTTTAACATAAAAGTCTAGTAGACTATGGAGTTCATTTGAGATATATAAATTGCAATCACGATAATATACAATGCTGTTTAATGCTAAGTTAGATTAAATTTCTCATTTCACGCAAAACAGCTGTCACTGCTTCACATGCCATGTCAGCTAAGTTACCCTGATATAAAGACACAAATATGAATAATTTGATATATATTTATACAAGAACACCAGCATGTTTGGGTTTGTTAATTTATGTCGGTCATTATTCGACTCATTTTAAAATTGTTTACCTCCGTCAGGAGCTTTCATGAAGTCCGCCGGCGCGTTTAGCCTTTCTGCTTTCCACAGATCCATAATACCCGCTAAAAAGCACGGTCTTACAAAAGAGGTCTCATATAAAGTTGTAAAATGCTTAAATTGAAATGTTTTGATGACTATTTCACGTCACAATTTTAGAAAGTGCGCGTCCTGCCGCCATTGAGTTTAAAGCTACCCGTGCAGTTGTCATGGCAGAGATTTCCGGTCCGACAGCAGCGCCCCCTGCCGTGTCGTTTGAAGAACTAAATCAACTATAACTAGAATGCAATATATTCACATTTTTACCCTTTTACTTAAATTCAAAATACTTTAATCGATATATGACACACTCGGTACTCCTTTGAATCATTGTCATTAACCTTCAATGTTGTTTGTGCTTATCTTCTGCATTTGACATTTCCAAAAAAAAAAACAATCTGCTGACTGAGGGGCTGAGTGTGAACAAATTATTATTATTTGCGCATTTATTTCTATATTTAGACATTATTTTTAACATACAGGACGCACAACATTCTTCTAAGGTTCTATGAAAGTGTTTAAAACATACATGCTTACTGCATAAAAACAACAACAACTAACCCTTTATGTTCAGTAGAGGTTTGATACTGCTGTGGTGCTTGACACACTGATCTCTGTCATTTGTTCTGGTCGGATGTGTTTGTTCAATCATTGATTCTTTGTGTGAATGAAGGCTTTGATTAGGCCACTGATGAACACTGACCTTCTTGTTCATGAGCCAGAAAATGTCACTGTTGTATTCATGGTTCATAGAAAGAGTTCAATGAAGCAACAGTGATTTGTATGACAATTGTTTGTATTTTATCTGACACAAAAACAGAGACAAAAAATAAAATTAATTTTGAGTTCCAGTATTCTTCAATGAAGCATTTAACAGAATACAATTTAAACAAACATTTCAGTAAAATTTGGTAACTGGGCAAAGAAAAATTTTGGTAACTTCTCTCTGGGAGTTGCTGATTTAAAAAGCAGTGCTAAAGACCAGGACAGTTTATTTTGTATCTAAATATAAATGCATAAACATAGGAAATGATACAACCGACATCTCGCAAATAGAATAAAACATCTTGGTTTTTATGTACAGTCCAATACATTAAAATACATACACTCACACACTTATTGAAATAAGGAGACATTGCAGAACTGGAAATTAAAATCAAAGTGGGACAAATGACCAACTACAGTATGTGTGAAATGTATATAAAAAGACGTTTCCTTTCCAATCCCGAACAAAAGCTCCTCGTAGAAATGCATTTACCCTGCTTACAATCACCATGGTTACATTTAGCAAGATTTCTTACTACGAAAAACAATCATCATGATTCACTCTGATTAACAAGCCATTCATGATTTCAACTACCAAACCTCAAAAATAACACACAACCCAAATCCATACCTCAATGAACTACACAAAGGGGAAAGATTATAGAATTTTTCACAGTGGAGCTTTTCCAAAATAAAAGTGAATAAAACATCAGTGATTCTCTCAGGAAAGATGAAGCGTGAATGAAACAGTAGGTTGGATACCAAACATAAAAACACAACTTAAATATAAACCAGCAATGATTCACATTACATTACCCATTTTGTGTAAAACAAAACAATACATACACATATACCTATATATATATATATGTGTGTGTGTATGTATGTTTTTAAGATATATAACATTATATTATAATACCTCATTCTAATCTTTAAAAAGAAATTAGATATATACTACAGAAATAGCTTTTCACTGAAAAAGGGGTAATGCCCTTTATGCAGAAATACGTTTAAATATTTATATATATACACACACACATACACATATATTCACGTAGACACACACATATATAAATATGTGTATGTATGTATATGTATATATATATACAGATATATATGTGTGTATGTGTGTGTATTTATGTGAATGTATGTGTTAGAGCCAGACAGATTTATCGGCAGGCCGATATTATCGGCTGATATTAGGCATTTTCAAAACTATCGGTATCAGCAGTTATAATGGCCGATAAAGGAATATTTAAAAAATAAAATAAAAACGGACGAAACACGCTTCAACCATGTCATGAGTGTTGGAGTTGTATAGTTTGTCCACCAGAGGGCACTCTACACCGTCCTTGTTGGCAACACTTGTGTATAACGCGCCACACATCCTGCAACCTGCTGATCCAGTTTGCAGGTAGCTTATAAAAGCAATGTAGTTACTAATTATTCCTCTGTTCTGTTGTGACAATAAAAGATAAAAGTTTATTTTTAAAATGCATTTTCATATTATTTTAGTTATAACTCATAAATAACTACAAATAATGAATGTTAGGGAAATCTGTTATTGTTTTGTTGCGTGTTTCTGGGAAAAAATATATATATATATATATATATATATATCGGATTTTAAAAACCAACAAATATTTGTATCGTCGGTATCGGCCTTCAAAATTCTTTATCGTCGGGCTCTAGTATGTGTGTATTCATATATATGAATTTAAATCTGAGGAAGGGGCAGGGTTTCAAAGGGCCAGCCAATCAGCACAAGTGCTTTTAGCTCTTAGAGGACCAATAAAACCAAAAGAACTCAATCAGCCAACCACCGCCATACATGTGAGGAATATCATCACAATGAAAACATTGTGAGAGATGGTTAAAAATCAAAAACAAGAGACAGAAATACTGAGGGGGCAAAAAAAGACAGACACTGCAAGTCTAAACCCTTAAAGGAAAGTTGAGTTATAAAGTTTAGATTTCAATCACCCTTTATAAAGTCATTTACAACTGATTGTCTTTACAAAATTACTTAAAAATCAAAACTCCTCCAGGAGTTACAAAAAACAGCTATTTTTAAACCTCCATTACAAAAAAGCATGAATAGATAAGTCTGATCTCATGCTGTAAATGTTTGTCTGTTATATGTACAGATGGAAAGTTATGGTGTGTTTTCAGGAGGGAACGATACACAGCACCATCATGTGCATTTAGTCCATGGAGTGAAATCAGAGGAGGAGAAACTTGTCAGCGATGCTCTCATTTACCCATCTCAGAACATGGAGACATTAAGAACCTGGAAGGCAAAACACAGTCGCTTTATAAGAGGTTCTAATGAGGGTGAAGTTGATCACACCGATTCCAACAGAAATGTTTTGGTTTCAGAGTGACTTCTGTGTGATCTGTGTGCATTGCTGTTATTGACAATGGGATTTGTTGCCCATAAAAAGTAGCTTACGAGACTAAACCTTTACAATGACGTTTTAAACATAATAGTTTATCGTTATCGTTCACTTCATAGTTTATTGGTATCGTTCTTGGTGTGAACAGGCCATTAGTACTGTATTCTTTCACAGCATCTCTCTCTCTGTCAGTTCACAATGACAAGAACAATGGACTAACAGAGAAAACAAGTGAGCAAAGCAGATTTTTGAATTTTGTGTGCTGGGGGGGGGGGGGGGAATGCTACAACAATACAGTTCAGCTGATAAGGTGTTCTGGCACAAGATTAATAAAATCTTGGTCCCTCCTTAAATTTAAGTATAAAGTTCTACCAAGCACCACTAATCAATAGACTGAGTGGATTAACAAATGAATTATGATATAAAACATTCGGATGAATAAATGCTCACCGAGTCATCCATTATGGAGGCAGGGTCAAAGTAGTCTGGTTTCAGCTCTGACCTCTCCCTGCGGTTTTTGGATGGAGGCTTCAGAGGGACAAAAAAGGTAAAGTTAAAGACCATGACACAAAATGTGTTTTCTCTATATGTCTGTTGACCATGCAGCCAAAGAAGATTGGATTAGATGGACTATGTGAAGATCTGAGAAACTTTCACGGTCACACTGCACCTGATTGGGTGACAGTGAATCTTTTAGTAAGAAAGGGTTCGCGCAGATTAATGTTATGCTTTCCTGAACTCTCATTCCTACCAAATCAATGTCCATGGTGTCAAAGTCCATGCCCTCATTAAGGTCGTCCAGTCGTTCTTCTGATGACATCATCACATCCTCTACAATTGGCTCCTCATCATCCTCCATCAGTCCGCTGCCACGGCGACTGGCAAACAAGCACATCAATAAAAAAAAATTAGCACCAATAATATCAGTAGCACTAACTACTGTTCAAAAGTTTTGGATGTGTAATTTTTTTGTAAGTAAGTCTTTTATACTCAACAAGGCTGCATTAATTTGATTTTTAAAAAAACACACTAATCACGTGTCCCGGGATTGTTTAATTTTGGTTCATTCACACTGCCAGTTATTTTCTGAATTCTGAGTATTCGTTCACACACATCTCGTAAAGATCCCGTAAAGACACGTGACATCAGAATGTGACATGTTTGCAGACATTTTTTCGTCTTTTCTTTGTTCCTTGACAAACACAAACTTTCTTCTTTTTGTTAATGTGCAATGTGAAAGTTGATCTGCATTTAAAACCCCAGTCAAAGAGATGCACGATGACTACGGCATTGAGACACTCAATTTAAAACGTTCTGAGCCCTAATTTTAGAACAGTAGTGTATGCGCACGTAGATGTGCACTCACATGGTGTGCTGAATGTGGCCTCTCATCTTGCCATACTGCAGGCTTGCTCTGTCCTGCTGCTGTTTTTGGGCCATCATCCACGCGACCTGAGAACTGAAAACAACATTTCTCAGTCAACTCTTTACTAATAAAGGGAGTATGTGTAAATCAGGGGTGGGCAAGTTCTAAACTCTTCAGGACAGCGGCTCTCTAGGACCGAACTTGCCTAGCCCAGGTATGAATGTAAACGTGTATGTTTACTTGTAGTCCATGTGTTGGTGCGGCTGCTGCAGGGGTGTGTGTTGCGTTTCGCTGCTCATGCTGTAAACTCCCATGTACCCCTCCTCTGGTCGAAGCTTCTTTGCATCCCGCAGGACAGTGGAGACAATGTGGGGTGATGACATCATTACAGGAGTGTGTGGGCCAGTCTGCTCTCGGTTGACCCACGCGCTCACATCACTGCTGCTGCAGCTACTCTCCTCTGAGAGACGGACAGAAAGAGAAGACAATAAAAGGGAAAGTTAGTTTTAACTCTGTAGAGATTATAATTCATGATATAATTACGATTGAACACACGAACCCTCAGGCAGTTTTCTCTTGTTGGCAGCAGGTGGTTTGCTCCTGCGACTGCGGGCGGAGCTCCTGCTGCTCATTCCGCTGATGACAGACAGTGTATCATCATCAGCGCCCGCTTGCAGAGAGTTCCGGTAGGAGATGAGAGGCAACCAGCAATCGTCCCTCTGGAGGGCCATTTGAAAGGTCATAAACCGCTCCAGATACAGGTGCCTGATGGGAAAGGTCAGAGGTCAAACAACAAGCACAGATAGATTTCAGTAGAGAAATTCATTTAAAAGACAGTACACAGTTAACCTTCAGAGACCCAGCGCAGCAGAAATGCAACACTTGAATATTCACTAAATATGAGTAAAAACTACACATTCCAGTAGCTGAAGATTGAGATGTATCACAACAGCAGTTTTAGTGAGAACAATTAAACATTATCGGCCACACCTTGCTAAAGTCACATACAGTGGTATGAATAAGTTTTGGCACCCATGCTAAAGTTGCCTAAAAAGAGGAATAAAAAAATCATCTTTTGGATATTGATCTTAATGCCTAAATTAGAAAAATGAAAAGCCAGTTATTTCATGGATCCAAGATAATATGCATCCTGATAAAGTTCCCTTGGCCTTTGGAATTAAAATATCCCCACATCATCACACACCATTCACCACACCTAGAGATTGGCATGGGGTACTTTCCATAAGATCATCTTTCAGTGCAAATCAAACCAGCTATTAGGCTAACTGAAGTAAAACCGTGCCAATCTCTAGGTGTGGTGAATGGTGTGTGATGATGTGGGGATATTTTAATTCCAAAGGCCAAGGGAACTTTATCAGGATGCATATTATCCTGGATCCATGAAATAACTGGCTTTTAAAAATAAAAATCTGCCTGACTCTATGGGAATTTAACATGGGGTGCCCTGACTTATGCACCCTGTATTTTAAGGAAAAACATTTATTTATTTATGATGCATTATTCATTCACAAAGGAAATTGGTGTCCTTAAAGGTTGGAGTTTTCCTCATTTTTCTAATTTAGGCATTAAGATTAATATCCAAAAGATGATTTTTTATTCCTCTTTTTAGGCAACTTTAGCATGGGTGCCAAAACTTATTCATACCACTGTAAAATGTATGGCTATATATTAGATGCCTAATACTTTAGATAAATGGCTGGCACAATTCTTAACATTATTGGAACAAATTGATCTGTTTAAAATAAATAAAATAATATACACACACACACATACAATATGTATATATATATATATATATAGGCTTACATGCCATCTAAAATTTTGAACATGTCTCATTGACATAATGTGTTTTTAAATTAAGATGTAAATTAGTACTTAAATTGTAAAATATATGTTTATCTTCCTAGCTCAAATGCATTATTTTAAATACAATAAAATAAAATACAATAAAATATTCACCTATTGTATAAAAAAAATTGTTGCCCATCGCTAAATGGCCAGCGATTTTGAAACATTTTTCCAACTTATACACCAATGTAAATTGTGCCTAAACAAAATAGTTTTTATAACTAATGTCCTAAAAATATTTACATCATGCTATTACAATGCTTAGGTCTCTGAGGGATCTGAGAAAGCAAAGGATTCTCAGTGTGAGTGTCTTACACAGTCTTCTTGTCCTGCCTCAGTAGTTTGGAGGAAAACTCACTGAGGATGTCAAGGAACGGAAGGTTGAGAGGAGGGCCGCCTTCTCCCTGTGGACTGGGTTCTTTAAATGCAAATTCTATTCCATCCCTAAAACACGAAAAGCACATACACACACACTTAAGACTCTGTCACTAAGACATATGGGGACGCTGATGCCCCTTTTCTACAAATGATACTGATGTTGGTAACAGAGCAGTATGACAGTCAGAAGATTTGTGAACCTTTCTTAACAGCAAGCATGTTTGAGTTTTCTTACTTGTGGAGCATTGCAATCGCCTCTCTTGTTTTGACCTGATCAAGTCCAAACGTGAGCGAGAAGCGTCGGGCCAGTTCTTTAATCCCACAGAAAGCAGATGCAGAACGATCAAAGTTACAGCCTAGATCACTCAGCATCTCATTAAACAGCTGAAACACACACATCACCCTTCTGTTATTCAGTGTTGCTGGCAGAGTGGGTTTGTGTAACGACAGAAGCGCAATCTCACCTGCTGCAGGCTGAGGATCAGAGTCTTGGCACACTGAATCTTGTCGATCTGACGTGCCTTACTCATGGTCTCCTTAATGATGTCACCATAATCATTATAGTACTACACACAGACAGAGATGCACAGTAAGCTTCAAGTAACACAGAATGTGTCGGAGCCGATAGCCTCGTGGGCAGGGCTCCGACTTGTAGCAAGGTTGCAATTCGGGTGGCCTGAGTTCCTCTCCAGGTTCACGGATCTTTCCCGATACTCTCTCTCTCCCACTTCACATCCTGTGTACTATATTTTATCTTATCCCAATAAAGGCAAAACACTAAAAACATTAACTAAAAAAAACACAGAGGATTGTTGCAGGGACTCACTCTCATGTACTGTTTGAAGACATCAGCTCCTGTCTTCATGTCCACAACATTGTAGATGATCAATTTGCAGAAGGCGGCCAATAAATTCCTGCGTCTGTGGAGCGCCTCAATCTTACCAGCCTCATCGTCTGCAAGACACACCCCAGAAATGGCTGAATTGGACTGAATAGTGAAAAAAGCAGCCAATAATTGTGCAGAATAAAATAATAATAATAAAACTAATTTGTTCTTTTTTAATTATTTTTGTTAAATTTTTTTTAAGTAAGGATGGAAATACAAAATAATACAAATTGAATACCATTACCAACTTTTGACTGCTTGTTTGTTAAAAGTTTTTCTACAAATTTCAGTGCTTCTAAATAAATGAATAAGGTGCAGTGTCTCATTTCAGCTCCAATATCAGCACCAAACCAAAAACATTATTAAATGGAATGAAAATGTAATAAGTCAATGGTTAATCAAGTCAATGGTTAATCATCAAAACACAAATTAAGTTTTAATTAAACCTGGGAGATTTTTGTAACTTCACAAAAAGTTCAGGTAACTAAAACTTAAAAGATCCATAAAGCTCAAAGCATAATGAATCCAGATTAATTTATTTTCAACAAGCTATGCCATTGTTTGACAACAACAGTAGTCTGACCCCAAACTCCAACCCAAGATATATTGCCATATCAGTTTTTTTTTTTGGTGATGTTAGTTGTGCAGAAATTAGAACTATGCATTGTAAATCAGTAGCTGATCGTGCTTCTGGAGCAAAGACTGCATACATGCCGTTATACATTCAAATCCACTTTAGAGTGGATCAGATCAGTCTTCTGTCCTCTTTGTATTTGTTTTTTGTTCACCTGCGCTGCTGTCCTCATCCTGGTCAACAAACACGTGATCCAGGATAAAGTTGATTAGTTCGCTCTGTAAGGATGCATCTGGACTGAACACCAGGGGTTCTAAAGCTTCCCGTCCCGATGCCACAATCTGATAACTGAAGATCAGGAGTGAATCGCAGAGAATGGTGAAGGCCTGCAACACACAGTTCATGAAAGTAAAAATTATTTCCTGTTTCCGGTATTAAAAATCAAACCTGGAACTTTCGGGTTACCAGTATGACTCTCTAACAATTATAGGCCAAGACTGCCCCCAAGAAATCATTAATTTTTCCACAATACCATATGCATGAAAGGATGCGTGGTCTGTGGCAGGTCAGACTCACCTGTTCTTTGACAGTGGTACTGATGCTGTTCAGGTAGCTCTGACATATCAGACAGAAGGCTCTCACCTGCCTCCGCAACAGCACCATTTCATCCTGAAATGGGACAAGAGTGTGACTAAACATTCAAAATGACAGTCTCACACAGGTCTGGGCACGTACGTGTGTGTTGTACCTTATTGGCACTGCCCTCTGAGACTTTAGCCAAGTGCCAGAGTATGACATAGTGAGTGCACTGGAGTGCATGAGCCACAATCTATAAAAACAAAACAATTAAATAACAATGAAAGTGCTTGAAGTTAGGTCAAAAAGTTTAGAGCAGAGTCAAACACACAGGTCACAGACAAAATATGGCTATCATATTTATCATATATATATATATATATATATATATATATATATATATATATATTTTTTTTTTTTTTAGCAAAAATGGGAAAAATTAAGCACTACAGTTACATTTGTAAAAATAAATCAATGAGTAAATCAGGAGTAATAATTTTTATAACTATATAATAATTAATTTCTTCTTTTTAGATATGATAAATTAAAGGAATTCATACAGGTTTGGAACAACTTGAGGATGAACTTGCGTGAACTACCCCTTTAATAGTGATTTGATGCTTTCAAGCCAAGATCATTGAGTAGTTTTCTACATCGTTGCTTGATTAATATTCCTTAATTACCAATTTATGTAGGCACAATGTAATCTAAATGCATCTGGGGAATTAAATGTTTCTGTTATTAAAGCAGCATGAAGTTGATTCAGCTCAGAACAACATTTAGAGGCAGGATAGCTGCTAAAATGAATTAACCCCTCTGTTGGTAGTCAGTACCTGCTCAGGCATATCCCCGTTTTGCAGGCCAGAGTTCAAAAGTTTGTAGTTGCTGGTGAAAAGGTCCCATTTAGTAAGGTCATGGGCACTGCAGGAAGACAGACACACACAGTTATGATGAAGACACTCCTCTGGTCTCACTGAAACATGTCCAGAACTCATTTCGCACCAAAATCAAAAGATTAAATAAGAATAATTTTCTTATCAAATGAAAGCAGTGTTTTAGGAAGTTCTTACTTGTGGAAGGCTGTGATTCTTTTGAGTGTTGACAAAACTTGATAGGCATCATCTTCATCAGGCTCCTCCCCCTTAAAGAAACAAAAGCATTCAAACTCAAACTGTCTAAAATTACACAGAACTGTAATTAAACTAAAACACACACAAACCTCCTGCAGGACGTCCTCCAGCAAGCGGTGGAACTTGTCAATCTGTTCATCGAGCATCTGGCTGCGGACGATATCTACACGGTTATAGATGGTGAATTCCTCATTGCACAGTGCATGGAATGTTACAGAACATGCCTCTAATACATCTGTGTCTGTGTGCTTCTCCACCACATCGCGGACTTGACGCAGCAGAGCATCCAGATGCTGCAGAACATCATAGTTATTACTTACAATACTACTATAACAAAACAAAAACAATCAATAATTTCTTTACTTCATGTCTATTCATATTATTTAAAAAAAACTATTGGTACTATTGGAAACTTTCTTCCAATAGAAAACAAAAAACAAAGCACAAAGCCAGAATAAGCACAATTTTTGTATTACTATGTGGCACAATATATATATATATATATATATATATATATAAATTTGAATGAGCATAATCACCTTCTCCAGTCGACCGGTTGTATAGATCTCCAAATCAAAATACTGAGGAAACTGCAACAGATTAGTGACCTTCTCTGGGTCCACTGAATACTGAAAGAGAGAAAAAGAGAGAAAGAGTCTATTCAGAAATCTGTCGGTTATGCATCCTGATTCAGGTGGCCAAAACCATTTGGTTGGATATTGCAGACTGTTGTTTTATGCCCAAAAAGCCAATCAATAAAAAGTGTTCAGGATCAATCAAAGTGACTTTTTGTCACAATCGTTTACATTTGTTTGCTATTCGTTTGAAGCATTACACACTGTCTGGCAGGGAAGAGACACACTTACTTTAGCCAATAACAGAGGCAAAGCCACAGCAAACGTTTCTGTGATCTTTGTTCGATCATCCAGCTGGGCTTTCTTTTCTTTAGCTGTAAGAACCTGTGCCAAATTAAACAACAGCAAACGGGTTTCAGAATGAGACTATTATTGTATCTACTACTGACTTCTTACGACAACATTCGTCTGATGATTTAAAAACACTTTTGTGTGTACACAGGTTTGACTACAGTTGTGAGGTCCAATGTTTCGAAAATATCTACACAAATATAGTGAAACATGTAATTTAAAACAAAAAGAAAAAAGACAAAACCGAATCATAGCTGAGATGAAACAAATGCTACTTTTGTTTCATCTCAGATCGTACCTTCCGTGTTGTAAAACGGATTATCAGAAGAGAAAAAAACAATAGGATGGAGACTTGGTTCTAATCATCAGTTGTTGATTGGATGGTGGCAGATCTGAATATGAGCTTGAGGTTGATTATCAGAAATTACAGAGGTTTAAGCAGACTAAATGGTCAGAGAAGTCTAGCATGTCACCAGATGGAAGCCTTTCGTTTTAAAGGAAGATCGAGTTTAAGAAAATTATTCAATTACAAGGTCAATTTATGAAACATACATGGATGAATCGTTCAAAATAAAATAAATAACATGCATTTAGAAAATAGATAGGGTGATTTTTTTTAATCTACAACCAACTCTACGAACACCTTGGCAATAGAATCACCAGGTAAATTGTTTTGGTTACTCCCCAGACTGATATACTATATATATATATATATATATATATATATATGTATATACTGATATACTATACTATTTTGAGAAAAATGCAACAGCGAGTCGTGTGCCTTCACAATAGAGTTTATGGTACGTTAAATACAGGTTCGCTGAGCTGAATTTGAAACGCTACAGAATCAGATTGCTTTTGACGGAGAGCGAAACTCAAGTGCTTAGTCAGTACTCAACGAGTGAAAATACATTACACACAGGCAAGTGAAATCTAAGAATGTATTAGCCAATGGCTAATGGTAGACATTATTTAGTCGCCCAGAGTGAAATTTACTCGCATATGTGTGTGATTTACTCACATTGTAGGGTTGATAACATTTACATAGATTAGGTTCATGGTTAGGGGTTAAGAAAATATCTCCTCTTTGTAAAACCACTGCATCTATGTGATGTCCACACTCATATAGCAAAATCAAAAAGTTGTTTTGTGTGTGTGTGTCTTACCCTTTTTCCGGAGCCTCGTCCGATGGGTGGGTGACACTCACAGGTCTGTCTGACAGCACAGAGCATGATCTCAATCAGAGCAGTTTCCTGAGCATCAGTGAGAGCTGAAATACACACATCGTTTGGTGTTTAAGTGATGTAGGTTAGAAAGATTTTAAATTTTGGTCCAGACACACACACACACACACAAAAAAAAAAAAAAAAAAAATCGATGAGAAATACAAGTGTGTGCATTTGTACCTTCCTCTCCAGGGAACGGTTCGTCTAGCAACAGGCTGATCATACTCTCCCAGTCCTTCAGGAGCTCTGACGCACAGTCCCACAAGCTGTCCACCAGATAGGCACCGTGCTCATGGAGCTAAAACAAACAAACAATTATAAAATAACCAAAAACATGTTTTTCTTCTACATTACAAGCCGAGCACATCAAGCACACCTCACTTTCCAGGAAGAACAAGACAGTTGTTCTGATGAGGTTAGCATTCAAACACTGTCTGCCTCTCCTTGGCCGCCCCTCATCCTCTGGACCGTGATGACTGAACAACCTGGGAGCACAACACACAAAATTGTTGTGTTCACAAAATAGTCACATGGCAGAATTAGTGAGTCAGGGTGAGAGTCAGATGTATTACGGGTCAAAACTAAAGCCCTAACTATACTTCGGTCATCCGTGGTCCACGAGAGTTTATGCAACGATGTAATTTTCTTCACCAGGAGGCTCCGCGCACAGTCCAAATTATGAATGTATGGTGCGCGAACAACAGCCTATGTGCAAGTGACTTGAGCACTTGAAAAGAAGTTCACTAGATTTTCGCATGCGTCTATCCATGTGCTCAGGCCAAAGGAGTATACTTTGAAAGGCTAGCACACTCAACTGTATAACCGGACCAGTGTTTCCCCTACCATTGTTCCCCCCTAAAATATTGACGAAATCCAGTCATAAACTAGTGTAGCCATGTAGACTAGTGTGTGTGAATATTAAACCACAAAGACTATTTAAATACAAATCCTGCATGTTCTGTGTGAATGAATGGTGCAGCCGACGCGCAGTTTTTATTTAACACACACACTGAAGCACGTGTGACGCTTGCGCTGTTTTTTTTTTTTTTTTTGCTTATATACTAAAAGACACAAATGCATGAACTTCCTCTCCAGGCACTAGATCCACTCTGAAAAGTCATTTCGTGATAATTTAACCGCTATATTTGAGAAAAACTATCATCATGACATAAACACACAGAAACTCAAAAGGTCTTCATGGCAACCCGTCGAAATAAAAGTTTGGTTTAACTTGACAGAATTATATTACTGTTGAACAGTAGAAATTAGATATGTCCTAATGTAATAATACTAACACTAATCCTAATAAATTATCATCAAAACTTAAATTTAAGGAATAATCTATTTTTCGTTCATGTTTTAATTTTAACAGTAACTGTAGCTCATTGTGCACATTGTGCAGGAAGTTATTTGACAAAAAGTTTATTCTATTTCATATGATTAAAATTGAAGATAAATTATACAATTTGTGTTTTATGTCTTGATTTTATTACCAGAAAAACCACAACAGCTGTTCACAGACAATGAACAGCTTTATTTTTATTAACTAACATCAACGAAGATGAACAAATACTGTAAAAAATGTATTGCTCATGGTTAGTTCATGTTAGTTAATACATTAACTAATGTTAACTAATGAACCTTATTGTAAAGTGTTACCCAAAAAATGTTGAATAAGTTAAAGCGGACCTAAAATTGGGCTGCACGGTGACATCCACGTACCCTCCTGATGACGAAAGTTATGTCACGAGGACAGTGTGTGAAGTATACTTTGAGCTTAATGTGGCAAATGTGTTTAATCACATTGGTATTTAATGAAGCACAGACTGTGCTGTTGAATAAAAAAATGTGGCACTCACTTTTTGTAGAGAAACTCCCCTGCTGCCACAGCAACCGGTCGGTGGGCAGAGTAGACTAAGTGATAGACGCTCTCACAGTCTTCAGCAGTCAAGACCTCATCACTACTTCTGTGTGTACAAACGAACACACCCGCAAATTAAATGGATACATCTTAAAAAAGCGAGTATGACTGTCACAGATGAATGATCAATGCTGAACTCACTGCAGAACTAGTGTCAGCAGCTTAATGGCCTGAACAGCAACATCATATTCCTTATCCAGAGTCATGGACACAATCCGATCCTACAGAGACAAGAGGAGAGAACTGTGTGTGAGAAAATACATTTTTCAGAGCCTTCAGAACCATAAAGAGAATTGATGTTGCCATCTCAAGTATCCTGGTGGAACACTCACCTTAAAGCGGCTTGTAAAGAGTTCCAGTCTGGCGTTAAGTTCTCTGCTATAATACAAACCCTGAAGAGCTGTAAGACACTTCAGACGGACCTCACCTTGCTGGAGAAAGAACAATGACATAAATGGATGACAAAGAGATTGCAAGTCACCTTTATTTATATAGAGCTTTATACAATCCAGATCCAGCATGCTGTTTATTTGAGGGGTTTTTTTTAGCTTCTTTGATAAGTAAATATCATTCAGTCTGTCTGAATGTGCTTGTTATACCTTATCATACATGGTCCAGCCCACGTACTTCAGATAACTGTCATTTAGAAAAGCATCACTGTACATCTTCATCCACATACCAATCTCCTCTATGCAAACGACCCTGATCTCAGCAATTACATCCCTGCAAACAAATACATGAAAAAAATCAGCTCTTTTCAAAGACTGTGTGGTTATTTTAAAATAGTATAATTAATTGAATCAGTCCTTTAATTTAGTTCATTTTGAGACATTTCCTTGCCTGTATCTGTGGATGAACACTCCTTTAAAAATGGCATTCATCATGTTCTCAATCTCATCCTGGTTTTCCTGGAGCTAAAAATTACAGAATCCATGTTTGAGTCAGGTTAATTGTTTCATTTTAGAGTGAGTGTGTGTGTGTGTGTGTGTGTGTGTGTGTGTCACCTCTTTGCGTTTCTGCAGCAGGAACTCCAGGCGTTCATTGGCTCGTTTCCCGACGCTCTTGTTGCGTTCTGCCTCGTATTGTCGTTGTGTGTTGTCCAAATTGATGCTCAAATTCAGAGCAACGTTCACCAAAGCGGTCATCAGTTTCATGCCTGAAATAGGGTTAGAGTGTACAATTCATACATTTAAGAACACCATGACTGAATATTGCATCACAAAATTCATGACATTCCAATTTGTTCATGCTCAGTATGAAATATTAGCACACTGTGCAGTATACAAAGTATGCTATCTATTCCATTTATCAAACTGGAAATTTAAGGTGAAGTTGAGCGCATTGCATTGTCAGGATACAGTAAACAAGACTAAGCAAATTAGCAAATGTTTTAAGTAGGGATGCACTGTTTTTGGGCAGAAACCGAAAATTCAGGATGCACTTGCCCAAAACCCGAAACTGAAAATAAATAATAAGTTATTTGATAAAACTTTAATCAACACTAAATAGCTAAATAATTAGCTGTACTCTTTTTAAAATTGCATACAAGTCAACAACTCCATTACTCTACACTACTCCATACTCCAAGGTATTACTACTCATTTGTTGGTGAAATATAAACATTTAAATGACAATAAAATGTAATAACTTGTTTTCATTCATGACCGATTTTTTCAAATATACATAAGTAATGAAGATATCACTAACAGGTAGGTATTTTTATGACACTAAATAGCTTTCTTGAGGTAAATGTAATGTTTAAGTGACATTGTACAGCCTATAAGCTGTTTTATTGATGTCTTTCCACAGCTGAAACACTGAGCAATTACATGAGACAGGATTCATCTCGGTAAGTTGTAATGTATCTTTTAAAAAGTGTTCACGCATTTTTATTTTGTGCACAAAACTAGTAGTAAAGAAGAGACTAGATGATCGGTTCACATGTGCTACATCCGCTTGAACTGAAGAGGCTACAGCAATCTGTCACATTGTATTAAAGAGCACCAACACAACATTTATTGTCTGAATTTCCTAATAAAATCTACAGAATTTTTAAAGTTGAGACTTTGCTTCATATTAAAAGTAACAAAGCTTTTTGTGATTATTGGATGGCAAGCGTGCTACAAATATTTTATTCACATATCAACAGAAAGAAATAAACCAGAGGTTGTGTCCACACAGCTGACAACTGTATTTCACTTTCGTGAACACTAATTAAAGCGCTAATTAAAAGTCTGTTTCAGTCAGATTTCGGCCCTCCAAAACCATTCCGAAACCGAAAATAGCTATTTCAGCAGAACATTTTTAGTATTTGAAATTTCTGTGCATTCAGTCATAAAACCAAAACACACAACTGTTGAAGGTTTGAGGTTGTTAGGATTTTTAAATGATTTTGAAAGAAGTTTATTATACTCTTAAAGGCTGATTTTATTTAATAAATGTAAATTATTTCTGTGATTGAAATGCTGAATTTTCACCATCAATACTCCAGTCTTCAGTGTCACATGATCCAAGTTCATGATTCTAATGTTTTGATTTGCTGCTCAAGCATTTCTCATTATTATCAATGCTGAAAACAGTTGTGCTGCTTAATACTTTTGTGAAAACCTTGATACATTGATTCATTGATGAATAGGAAAAAAACATATATTTGAACCAGAAATATTTTGTGATGTTTTAAATGTTTGTTTTTTTACTATCACTTTTAAACAATTTAATGCATCTTTGCTAAATAATAGTATTCATTTTATATATATATATATATATATATATATATATATATATATATATTACTGACTCCAAACTTTTGAACAGTTGTGCGAGTCAAAATATCAATACTGAAGAAGTAGTGGTTAGGTTATGTTATGTTATTCTGAACATTGCATGGTACGTAGCCCAAGGTAACCCACCTGCCAGGGTGCTGGTGTGTCTGAACGCTCTGACCTGTGAGTCAGACAGGCCGGTGAGGAGAGAGATGAGCGTGTCCATCATGTACTCATCATAGATGATGCTGTACTGGCACTGTCGGACCAGGACCGCGATGAACTCACACAAGTTTAATTTAAACTTCTTCCACACAGGACCTGAACTCGCTAGTGGGTAATCGCCACTGTCCTGAACACACATACACACACAACCTTTTTACACATATTCATTTGAAGTAGCTAATTTCTTCCATCCCAGCACACACAATGTTTTACATATATATTCTTCCTATGGAAATATCTGTGGTATAAACTCACACATTAACAAACCTCATCAAACTCTTCCGTCATTTTCCTGATGATCTCAGAATTCTGCATGTGCCGGAACATCTCTGAGCTCACAGCGCCTACAACAAACACGCATTCAGTAGCACAAAACACACACTTGAAGTATGCAAACTTATCTACAACTAAAGAACATACAAACACACACCTTTACAACCAGAGCAGTGGATGAAGAAGTTGATCAGTTCCAGCAGGGCAGAGTCTCTGTCTGTCTTATAGGACTCAATCCAATCATCAACAACTGACTGCAGAGAGAGAGAACACACACACACACACTCGCTTAAACTACCTCAGTTAAACCTTCTTTCATACACACACAGCCTACACAGAAAGCACACGCTGCAATTAGGCCTGTATATAATAACTAACCACACACACACCACTGATTCACATGATGATTCATCCGGGCACTTTGAAATAGAGTCTATGAATGAATACAGTGAGAGATCAGCATGTATCTGAAGATGTTGTACAGGTGTTGGTACCTGTGTGGCACTCTTGCCCAATTTGACAATCTCGAACAAACTGAGATTCTCCATATCATTCTCCTGATGGTGGCCATTTACCCGACCTCTCACCTCTGACCCCTTCAACTTTTCTCCAAGGGTCTTCTTCCCCTTCTAGACACAAAAGGCAAAAAGCAAGGAAATTTCCAACAAACAATTTAGTATCTATTCCACCTCAGATATAAGCCAGTACAATTTGAGATTTTTCTGATATAAACTGCCATTGCATTAAAAAAAAAAAAAAGAATTTGTCAAAAATAATGGCCCTCATTTATCAAAAGTGCGTACACCAAATTTCCAGCGTACACCTGGCGTACACCCAAAACCACGGTGATTTTTACTTTACCAAGGCATTTGATTTGTAAGCATTCCTTCAGTTGCGAGCCTGTGGACTTTACTCTGCCGTTTCAGGATTATCCCGGCAGGTGCGCACGGACACGGTTCGGTAATGAAAGGCTTTCAATGACCAAAAAATAATTCAGACTGACAAAATAATAAAAAATACATTCCTCTTCTTTTACATATAATTATAATACAAATAATAATAACGACATTCTTCTTCTAAATAACAAGCGCCATTAATAATACAAATCATAATAGGCCTAATAAGAAGAAGAATATTGCAAATTGTCATGCAATTATTAGTGTGAATGAATGGTACTTCACATCACATCATCACTATTGTACACCCCAATACATGTGAAGTGATTCTAAATTGAATGCTAATTCAAAAGACGTGTTGTAAAATAATGCAATGTGATAGGTCATTTCGGCATCACGTCAGAGAAGTTTCTCTTCTTTGCCGTCTTCCGTGTGTCCATGGCGTAAAATGAGGGCGTGGGGGGAGCGGAGACTTGAATATTTAGGGGCGTGTTATTCTAATGACGATCGTTTTCTGCCGCGGGATTTATCAAGGGCAGGCATTGCGTACACCTGGATTTCAAAGGTACGCACAGCTTCATAAATCAGGCGGTGAGAGGAGTGTAAGCATAATCTTACACCAACATATACACCCGTTTCTACGCAAGAATGATAAATGAGGGCCACTGTGTTTAAAAATATGATAATGATGATGTAATAATAATGATTGAAAAAAATATTAAACAAGGAGAAATGTTAATATATTGAAATATTTCAAAAAATCTAATTCAGAAAAATAATACAATCATTTTATTTCAGTACAACTGTTAAATTACAATTACTAGCATTTGTGGTTGTCTTTATTTCTTCATTTTTTTTAAATGTTAAACTACTGAGCTTTTATTTTAGCAGAAAACCACCCTAAAATTAAGCCCTCAAAGCTTCTCTTTTGTAGACAACCACTTGTTTATAAGCACTTCTCCTCACAAGATAATGAAGATGATTGTGGCGAGCATGGCGAGGCCGAGGGCCGTGAGAGAACGGCGCGAGGCCGGTGGCGTGATTGATCGACGCACCATCTAGTATCTCTCACAGAGGAGTGGAAGTATAAAAGGAACAGCGACGACAGTGAAGTCGAAGGTGTCACTTATTATTAATCACGCCACCGGCCTCTGCGTCTTCCTGCTCGCCACAATGATGCATTGCTAAATGCCCGTTATAAGCCAAGCACATGCATAGATGGAGTTTGTGTCCAGTAGCATTTACTGTGAACCAAGCCACTCAGAGAAACTGAAAACACCAAGTTTTCATTTCTACTAGTGAGCTGCACGTGTGAAAATGGATACAGTTCCACACTTCACTCACATATTTTCATTTCATTCAATCACATTAGCACATTAACATTATATTGCAATTTCGGTTTTATTACAAATATTCATGCAGCCCAACTCATATCTGTTTTACAGTGCATCTGTTTAGCTAATTAAGAAGAACTATATCTGAAAGCTAAATGGCTGATAGGTACCTTCCCTTTTCCAGGTTTGCCATTTCGACCCTCAAGATCTTCAAGATCGGTGTCAGAGAGCCGAGAGTGTCCTTCCCTAAACAAAATGCAACAGTGATTACAGCAGTGTGTATGTGGAGATCAAAGTAATTAATTGGGGTGTGTGTGTTAATCAGGCGCTTTAATATCCTAATATACAGAGCTCAGATGTCCTATGTGCAGCCATGTAGTTTAATGATTTTCCCTACATAGATGGATAGGTTTTGTTATAGGTAGTCCAGATGCTGGACTTCTTGTTCAAATGAGCTTATGATTTCCAAAATTGCGTTTAGGTAGGCAGCTCCTTGGGTTTTCAGACACAGACACTGTCTGGCTGGAGAAGGAGTGAGTTAATGTATGTATGATACTTACTGGTAGAAGTCTGCTTGAAAGTCCTGAACTGCTATCATTTTTTCAACATCTTCTGTCTCTTCTGGAGTTTACAAGTGTCCCCACACTGCAGAAGAAAGACCCACACAATTTAAAACTGCTATATGAAAACCATTTCTTAAAATAACAGTTTAAACACAACCATAACGTCTCAATGCTGTTACGGTTACTGACTGAGTTTTTTTTTAAGCGTGCGTTTGGTTGAAGGACGGTGTGTTTATATATGTGACTTTAATAATAAATATCAGACATTTGCTGTCAACATTACTGTACGATTAATCAAACATTATACAAACTCAATTAAACACATACAATATCGAAGTATTGGTGTAATGTGTGAGATTTTATTAATTGTGTTTTAATATTCAGTTTGATTTCCGTAAACACGGGCTAGCATTGCAAGCTAACATGCTAACAGGCCTCCAGCTCCTCTAAAAGACATTAAAACCGCCCCAAACCCACCAAAACAATGTCAAACTGCAAAACCAAATTACAACTTTACGTTTCTTTACACGAAGCATAATATAGTGTCTCAATATTTTTCAATATTCAAGCTGATGGTTGAAACGGTCTGACATATGAACGACTCTGAGAAATGTATCCCCCCAAACTCACAGTAAAATGTCTTTTATTTATTTTATTTTTTTCCAAAATCGCGGATATTTATGAAGATCGGCCGCCATTTCTCACCTCCCTCAGCGTGAGTCCAGCTGCATAAAACCCGCCCAGAGCCGCCGCCGAACGGAACCGAACCGGACCTCCGCTCCGCGGTTAAGACATGATCCAAGTGCAACTGCAGGCTCAGTTCTGTAAAGGTTCGAAGGTGGAAGAGGCAGTTTGGTACTGTGGGCGGACAGAAGTAAAATGCAGCCTCGAGGAACCCAAAACACACTTATTACGCATCCACACACACTAGTTTCCACAAACACACCCACACACACACACACATTGTGGAAGTACCACAGATAATTTTTGGCCTTTTAAAATAGTTTATATTTTAATATTTAGTTTCTGAATCACTGCTGTTTCTATTTACAAACAAATACATGAGGAAAAACTAGAAGATTTGAGAACATCAGTGTTTCAAAGTCAACCACTTCAATAGAGGGGTTAAATCAGACTTTGACACGAGAAAAGAACAGCTAGAAAAGGGTTAAACGTCAAATTCTCCAGATGACAGACCGATTTCCATGGTAAGATGAATTCAGGAACAACAATTGGCATAGAGAAGTTTTGCCAGATAAATGAGGAGAGAAATAACCAGAATCTCTGTGCCAAATTTGGATAAAATATGGGGAATAACCAAGAAGTGTACTACATTTCATTTTGACACAGATGAATGTGCAAATCAAGCTAGAGAATGAGAAAGAGCATCCAAAGTCTGTGGAGTGATGGTGGACAGACAAGATGGAAAAGGATCTTTTTGTTTCTAAAAACAATATCAGAACATAGCTGTCAGGAATATATTTTATTTATTTTTTTACAAAATTCACAAGTATAAGGCATATAAATAAACGTTTTTTTACATTTATCAAAAAAACGTAATCACACAAGAAACTATTAATGGCAAAAAATTAATATTGTGAAATGGGGATATAGTTATTAAAAAATAAAAATGCAATATAATCTATAGCTCAACGCGACAAATATGACTTCCCAGTTTTATCTCTAACACACGACATTACACAATGACATTGGGTTCATAGCACCACATATACCATGTGCATCGGAACTAGAGATAAAATGTAAAAACATCATGAAAATCGATTGATTTCAAAAATATATATATAGTATACAGATTAAAAAAAACATATTTCCCATACATATGTAAACATAAACTCATACCACATAATATTGTAGTTTACACAGTTCCCAGTTGTATTTCTACAGGTTTTGAGTGAGAGTTACTACTCTTAACCTTTAGCAATAAGTAAATCACACTAAACAACACTACATCAGCTTTTGTTCGACTGACTCTATCACAATGAGCAACTAAAAATGTGACATTTACCACTTAACACTTTCAAGTACAGGTGGCACAATATTTAAAAAATTATAAGAATATGTAACATAGCTATGCTTTATGGCACCTTTTAAAGTAAAAAATACAAAACCAAATATAACACAACTACATTCACATTTTATTGCCAATAAATAAAAATGTTCCAAGATGTAAATACTATATATATCCAGCAGGAGGCAGAATGATGTTTCTACTGAGATAAACAGAATTGGCAATAAGTGTGCCTTTTGATGAACCCCAATTGGCATACTTTTATCATGTCTACTTTATGGAGCAAGACTGGAAGACAATACAATACACGTGATATACATCTGTATACTTTGGGGGGTAGTAAACTAGGAAGCTTAGAATTACTACAATTGGAAATCAACCTAGAGGAGTGTGCATCATTTAGTCCCATATAACCTCTCAATGTCCTTTATATAATGATTTTTCAGTTCTTTTCTCTTTAGTTTGAAGGCGTCCGTCACCAGCCCTGTTTCTGGAGTCCATACCTCAGAACTTAATCGGATCTTCTGTGGAACCTCAAACTTTTCCAGTTTATCTATAGTACCACACACACACACACACAAATTTATATACAGTTTAAACACAGACACAGTGACACACACACACAAACATCAACGGCTTTGCCGTTTCTCAAAAGTATCAAACACACAAATCTCAGTAGTTTACAACAAATACTGTTTAAAGGTAAAATGTGTAATTTCAGTGCCACCCACAACTCAGTCACATTTTAAAGTTAAAGTCACTTTGAAATCAAAATTGACCATTTTATTATTTGTATTGAATATTGCAAACATGTGCCCTTAATCAAAATAACTTCCCCTCCCTCTTGCAACAACATCTCTTCTCTTCTCTGATGATGTTTATTGGTCTGAGGGCTGAGGACTCACATGAGATCATCACAGCAATAGCAAACCACAATCCAATCAATTCCCAAAGGACAAATTCAAGTCCTGACTCCTGCCCTACATTTTTTTTTTCTTGTTTGAGAATCCGTTTTACTCAGACATACATTAAAATAGGGAAGAAAAGACTTCCAGCTTCTGTTTCATGCTGATTTTAAAGGCACAATATGTACGATTTTTTTCACCACAAGATGGCGCAGTTTCCGACAATAAGAAAGGCGAGATGGATGATGGCCACTTATTTAAAATTTTGAATATCTCTAAAATAAAAAATCTTCGGAGACTTTTGTAAGTACACAACTGCAGGAAATATATCACACCATGCAAGTGATTTTTGGATATTTTATTACAAAATTCTTACATATTGTACCTTTAAATTGGGATAGGTGGAGAAAAAAAACACTTAAATTTTAAATACACTAATAGCCGATCTCTGCAAAACACCTAAAAACAAAAACAATTAAAAAGGCTTGTAAAAATATGCTTACTTTTTACTGCAATCTCTTTGATGACTTTAAGGACTTCCTCCTCCATCATGGTGTGGTTACAAAGCTCCTCCCACTCGCCCTCGATCCCACTCTTATTTGCTAGCTCAGTTAGTTGCTTCTGATTGGGCACCACAAAGCTGATCAAGTAGTTCTGGTCACTAATCGGAAATGAATCGCACATGTAAATGTAGTGTTTTTCTAGGTTAATCTATAGTTAGGGAATATTGTGCTGTGTGTGATTGTTTTGCGATCAACTGGGATACAAGGTTCTGGTGTACCTGCTGGCATAGACACAGATGTTCTCAATGAGGGGGCTGTTTTTCAGGGCAGCTTCTACCTTTCCCAGAGACACATATTCACCTGCCTGCAGCTTTACCAGGTCCTTCTTACGATCTGAGAACAGGAAGTGGAGGATTGGCATGCTATGGTTGACGTCACTCAACATTGACTTCTCTGATGCAACTCTTCCCTGTAAAATGATTCAGAACTTACCCACAATCTGCAGACAACCGTCTGGATGAACTTCCCCGACATCTCCGGTACAAAACCAGCGCTGCCCCGCCTCGTCCAGCCAGAAGTTGTCATTTTCTCCCTCCCCCTCACTCCCATAGTATCCCATGGCAACATTCGGTCCACCAAACAAAATCTCCCCTCGTGGGTGTGGCTTATCCTGACTGGTGTATCCACCTAATAATGAAAGAGAGAGGTAGGTTAAGAATGTAAAACGAACCCTCGATTGCATTTGGTGTGTGTGTGTGTGTGTGTGTCTTACCCTCAGGCCAGTCTCTGAGTTTTATTTCAGAGCAAATGAGAGGAGCTCCAACACGTCCTGTACTGTAATCAGAAGCTACAAGCATACAAACACACAAGACTGAACACGTCAGCACAGGAATCTAGTATTTTAACATGCGGGAAAAATGTCACAAGTTGTATGAGTGTGTTTGGACTGCCACTTACAATCTGAGATAGTTCCTGCTCCACACGTCTCTGTAAGGCCGTAACCCACAGCGACGGGGCAGAAACACACATTTATGAATCTATGTGTGGAAGCAGACAGTGGAGCCCCTCCGCACAACATCCGGCGTACACACCCACCCAGCAGCATATTCACTTGCTTGAAGATCAACCTAACATACACAATATCATAAGAGAGAGAGAGAGAGACAGTTTTTGGTTGCACTTTATTTTACAGTACATGCACTTAAAGTAGTAGGCAATATAAGGTAACTACATGGGTTCAGGTTAGGTTTAGCGCAGGTTCAGGGTTATAACCTAGTTATTATTACCCAGTTATTATAACTACTATAATAAGTACATAGTATAAGAATGCAGAACATGACTGTAAAATAAAGTGCTACAGAGTTTAAACTTTATTGTATTTTGCAATTTGTCTGAAAAATGTGTCTTTTTTAATCAATTTGGACAGTCATTTTTTTAATATAGAAACCCCCAGACATTTAAACATTGATATTCATGATGGGGTTTTTTTCCCACCCATTAACATGTTTTTGAGAAGCCATTAGTAACCATTTTGTTTAGGAAAAAGATGGATGGATGGATGGATGGATGGATGGATGGATGGATGGATGGATGGATGGATGGATGGATGGATGGATGGATGGATGGATGGATGGATGGATGGATGGATGGATGGATGGATGGATGGATGGATGGATGGATGGATGGATGGATGGATGGATGGATGGATGGATGGATGGATGGATGGATGGATGGATGGATGGATGGATGGATGGATGGATGGATGGATGGATGGATGGATGGATGGATGGATGGATGGATGGATGGATGGATGGATGGATGGATGGATGGATGGATGGATGGATGGATGGATGGATGGATGGATGGATGGATGGATGGATGGATGGATGGATGGATGGATGGATGGATGGATGGATGGATGGATGGATGGATGGATGGATGGATGGATGGATGGATGGATGGATGGATGGATGGATGGATGGATGGATGGATGGATGGATGGATGGATGGATGGATGGATGGATGGATGGATGGATGGATGGATGGATGGATGGATGGATGGATGGATGGATGGATGGATGGATGGATGGATGGATGGATGGATGGATGGATGGATGGATGGATGGATGGATGGATGGATGGATGGATGGATGGATGGATGGATGGATGGATGGATGGATGGATGGATGGATGGATGGATGGATGGATGGATGGATGGATGGATGGATGGATGGATGGATGGATGGATGGATGGATGGATGGATGGATGGATGGATGGATGGATGGATGGATGGATGGATGGATGGATGGATGGATGGATGGATGGATGGATGGATGGATGGATGGATGGATGGATGGATGGATGGATGGATGGATGGATGGATGGATGGATGGATGGATGGATGGATGGATGGATGGATGGATGGATGGATGGATGGATGGATGGATGGATGGATGGATGGATGGATGGATGGATGGATGGATGGATGGATGGATGGATGGATGGATGGATGGATGGATGGATGGATGGATGGATGGATGGATGGATGGATGGATGGATGGATGGATGGATGGATGGATGGATGGATGGATGGATGGATGGATGGATGGATGGATGGATGGATGGATGGATGGATGGATGGATGGATGGATGGATGGATGGATGGATGGATGGATGGATGGATGGATGGATGGATGGATGGATGGATGGATGGATGGATGGATGGATGGATGGATGGATGGATGGATGGATGGATGGATGGATGGATGGATGGATGGATGGATGGATGGATGGATGGATGGATGGATGGATGGATGGATGGATGGATGGATGGATGGATGGATGGATGGATGGATGGATGGATGGATGGATGGATGGATGGATGGATGGATGGATGGATGGATGGATGGATGGATGGATGGATGGATGGATGGATGGATGGATGGATGGATGGATGGATGGATGGATGGATGGATGGATGGATGGATGGATGGATGGATGGATGGATGGATGGATGGATGGATGGATGGATGGATGGATGGATGGATGGATGGATGGATGGATGGATGGATGGATGGATGGATGGATGGATGGATGGATGGATGGATGGATGGATGGATGGATGGATGGATGGATGGATGGATGGATGGATGGATGGATGGATGGATGGATGGATGGATGGATGGATGGATGGATGGATGGATGGATGGATGGATGGATGGATGGATGGATGGATGGATGGATGGATGGATGGATGGATGGATGGATGGATGGATGGATGGATGGATGGATGGATGGATGGATGGATGGATGGATGGATGGATGGATGGATGGATGGATGGATGGATGGATGGATGGATGGATGGATGGATGGATGGATGGATGGATGGATGGATGGATGGATGGATGGATGGATGGATGGATGGATGGATGGATGGATGGATGGATGGATGGATGGATGGATGGATGGATGGATGGATGGATGGATGGATGGATGGATGGATGGATGGATGGATGGATGGATGGATGGATGGATGGATGGATGGATGGATGGATGGATGGATGGATGGATGGATGGATGGATGGATGGATGGATGGATGGATGGATGGATGGATGGATGGATGGATGGATGGATGGATGGATGGATGGATGGATGGATGGATGGATGGATGGATGGATGGATGGATGGATGGATGGATGGATGGATGGATGGATGGATGGATGGATGGATGGATGGATGGATGGATGGATGGATGGATGGTAGGTAGGTAGGTAGGTAGGTAGGTAGGTAGGTAGGTAGGTAGGTAGGTAGGTAGGTAGGTAGGTAGGTAGGTAGGTAGGTAGGTAGGTAGGTAGGTAGGTAGGTAGGTAGGTAGGTAGGTAGGTAGGTAGGTAGGTAGGTAGGTAGGTAGGTAGGTAGGTAGGTAGGTAGGTAGGTAGGTAGGTAGGTAGGTAGGTAGGTAGGTAGGTAGGTAGGTAGGTAGGTAGGTAGGTAGGTAGGTAGGTAGGTAGGTAGGTAGGTAGGTAGGTAGGTAGGTAGGTAGGTAGGTAGGTAGGTAGGTAGGTAGGTAGGTAGGTAGGTAGGTAGGTAGGTAGGTAGGTAGGTAGGTAGGTAGGTAGGTAGGTAGGTAGGTAGGTAGGTAGGTAGGTAGGTAGGTAGGTAGGTAGGTAGGTAGGTAGGTAGGTAGGTAGGTAGGTAGGTAGGTAGGTAGGTAGGTAGGTAGGTAGGTAGGTAGGTAGGTAGGTAGGTAGGTAGGTAGGTAGGTAGGTAGTGTTAATTTTACCAGCCATTTTTAAATTTAGTTTCAGTTTTAGTCCAGTTTCAGCATCGCTTATTAGTTTTTATCACATTTAGTCGACATCATCCCATTTTTATTTAGTCTAGTTTTAGTCGACTATAAGTCGAGCATTTTAGTCTTTATTTTAGTCCAAGAAAACATAATTTTATTCGTTTAGTTTTAGTCAAAAAAAAAAAACTGTCAACATTTTAGTCTAGTTTTAGTCAGGACATCATTTTAACCTTTTACTTTTTTGTCAGCAGATAATATTTAACATTTCCTAAAATTATTTCACATTTCAACATTTTATCTCATCTTTTTGATAAAAAAAAACACAATTTTAAGGAACACATGCAGACATGGAAGATGTTCTGACAATATTTGCATATTTATTTTGAACATTGTTAAGGTTCAAAGACACAAACACAAATGCTTGCATTAAAACAAATAAAATACACCTGACAAAGGAAACAAATAAATAAAATAAAGTGTATTATGAACTTAACACAAGTGCTGGCTGTTTAAAGCTAGTTCACATAGAATAATAAAATAAATAGATTTGAGGTCAATGTTGTGAAAAAAAAAAACCTCCAACTGATACAACAAAAGTGCTTTCCTGCCAGCTAGTTCACATGGTATATAAAGGTACAGTATTTAAGGTGAAACAAGGCATAGATTGCTAGAACGTATGAAATCTTGTATGAAATAACTAATCTTTTTAAAACGTCTGTCTGCTTTAATCAAATTTAACTGAAACCCTAGTTGCCCGGCCAGTATAACATATCTAAGTTAGCATAAATTTAACTTCACGTACAATTCTATCAACAAGTGGCTACGGTCGCTACGTGCTAAGAAGCTAACGCAACATAGCCAGCCTGGATACTAAATGCTATGAAAGTTAGCCATCATTAGTTAGTTTATCATTGTAACAAAATGTGTCCATATATCACGTCTCTTCTTTCTCCCGAGCCCCGTGCAAAGCATGTTTTACTTTTAACCTGTCGCCGCCGCCTCACCGTGAATCCAGCTCCCGTCTGCTCAATGTGTTGTGTCGGCTACTCTGACTGTGCCCGCCCGCTCCAGGTTTGAACGTGGGTGTGTGTGGCGGAAGAGCTGACGCGGAGGAGGCGGAGAAGGAGACAGGATTTGACAAAACCATATCATATAATAATATGTAATTTTCGTCTCGTCTTTGTTCGTGAACTAAAATGTCCATAGATTTTAGCCCAGTCTTTATTTACCGAACTGCATTTTCGTCTCGTCTTTATTAGTCTACGAAAATTATTTCTGATTTAGTCCCAGTTATTGTTTATTAGTGGGGATTTTAGTCTCGTCTCGTCTAGTTTTCGTTCGGTGAAAAATGTGCGTTGACGAAAATATTTTCGTTTAGTTTTCGTTAACGAAATTAACACTAGTAGGTAGGTAGATAGATAGATAGATAGATAGATAGATAGATAGATAGATAGATAGATAGATAGATAGATAGATAGATAGATGGATAGATAGATAGTTATATAGATAGATAGATGGATAGATAGATAGTTATATAGATAGATAGATAGATAGATAGATAGATAGATAGATAGATAGATAGATAGATAGATAGATAGATAGATAGATAGATAGATAGATAGATAGATAGATAGATAGATAGATAGTTATATAGATAGATAGATAGATGGATAGATAGATAGTTATATAGATAGATAGATAGATAGATAGATAGATAGATAGATAGATAGATAGATAGATAGATAGATAGATAGATAGATAGATAGATAGATAGATAGATAGATATCTGTATAACTGACTCACATGTTACACATCGGAGAATCAGATCCTCGTGACACCTGCTGCAGTTTATAGTTGTATCCCACTTTAAACAAAGTCCTTTTAAGCACTGACATCTCTCTCAACTTCCCATTAACATTCTTGCAGATACGATCCATGATCTCCTACACACACACACACACACACACACAAATATTGAGTAAAGAAAAGGGAACATAAATAAAACGGCTTAAGAAAAGTAACTATTGAAAACCTCACCGGTACTGCAGCTATCAGGGTGGGTTTGAGCACAGAGCAATCTCCCTTACCGCCGCTCTTTATTTTACTGGACTGCACAGACAAGAGCACAGGTCAAACTCAGAGAAAATGGTATATTAGTGAGGGTGTGTGTTTGTGTGTGTGTGTGTGTGTTACCTGGTCAGTGAGTGTGTGTGGGGAAGAGTATCCGACCCTGCAGCCATACGTCACACAGGATATTTCTGCAGTCAGCTCCAGCACATGAGCCAATGGGAGATAAGCTATATATGAGTCCTGTGGCCTGTACATACAAACAGCAATGGGATTATTGTTAACTAAAACAGTACAACATTTTTTTTTCTTTTATTAAAATAAATCTGAAATTAAATAAATAATAAATATATAAATGAAAAAAATAAAACCAACTAACTAATACAAGTTTAAATTGAAATATACTAAACTTACCAAAAAATAAAAATATGTCACAGCTAAAGTGAAATATTAGAAATATTAGGAACATTTACTAAAACCTGAAATTAAAATAAAGAAAATAAAAGCTAATTCAATATATTAATAAACACTACAATAGTATATAAATAATACTAAAAGAACACTCTGACACAAATAAAGTTAAGTTGATAGTGAGCTTGAAATATTAGAAAGACACTAACTTATTCATTTTTACATGCTTTTAATCATCAGATCCTACGATTTGTTTGCACAATTTTACACGCACATGTCTCATTCTTCTCTGTATTTACTCCATCACACACTCTGATTCAGGTTTACCCTACAGATGCATTATGTCATAACCAGGCGTGACTTAAGAGATTTAACCTGGAAGTAATTTCTCTGTCTGTATATATGACAAAAAACATGCAAACTAGTGAACTGGTGTTGGTGTTACTGTTTCTCACCCCAGGCCCGGGATCCGCTGACACTGACCCGCCATTCCTGCAATTAGATTACTGTGTTGCATCTTAACCCCTTTAGGCAGCCCAGTAGACCCACTGGTATACATAACCACTGCGAGATCAGATGCAGTCGGCCTCTCATACTCTTCACTTACTAAGAGATTGACACAAAGAGAGGGTGAGTGTATCAGCTTTGTTAAACAGTACAGTTTGGTTGCGTAAGTAATTGTTTTGCATGTCGCTCACAGTTCTCTGGCTTTGCCCCAAGCTTCATTACTTCTTGCACACTGTGAATGGTGAGAGACTGTGGGTAATCAGCGTGACATACTTCACTGCCTGCATAGATAACATGCTGCAAACCTGAGAGTACGCTCAAAACATTCTGAGATAGAGAGAAAAAAAATATATAGAAAGTTAGTCAGACCACACAGATAAGCATTGTGTGCATCATGTCTGGGAGTTTGTGTACCTTCAGTTTGCTCTGCAACAGTTCTGTGCTGGTGATGAGATGAGTGGCTCCACACTGATTCAGCCCATAAGCTACAGCATCTTCACCCAGAGTTGCATACAGCGTAACCACTGCAAACACATACATACAGTTATTATTTTACAGGCCATTTTGCCAGGTTTGCCCAGGCATGGAACTGTTAAATAATTATACAAGTAGTGAATTTTAGACAAAATATTCCCTGTTACTTTGTCTATTTTTTCTTAACAAAAATAGTTCTAAACAAAGTCAAAGGACAAAAACTATTGCGAATCGAAGCGACAAAAAGTAGCACCGTTCCTAGATGAATCAGTGTTGTTAAAACAAATGGATGAATGATTCAAGGGCTCACTGATTATTTGTTTTAGTCCTAAATGAATCAGTGCTTTTGACAACCCGGCTGAGTAAGTGATTGAATAAAACAAATAGTCCCTTACACCACATACTGGTGTATCGATGTAACCGGTAGAAGGATTGAGCCACTGAAAACCCCAATCTCTAATATCCACCTTAATTTATATACATTGCCCAGGCAACAAAACAAAAAGAAAAGTTGCTGTTTGGTTTTAAATCGGCAAATACTCTAATTAGTCTATGTTTAGATCATAATTGCAGTGATTGTTATGTTTCTAGCATGTTAGATGTCTTGGTGTCACTTTTCATTTCTTAAACAAACATGTAATGTAGGAAGGACGACGTATTATGGCAATATGCAAGACTAAAGCACTCTGTAAAGTCTACTCCAGCACATCCCAAAGACTTACCATGAATTTAAGGTCTGGGCTCAGAGGTGCCAATTCATGTGTGAAAATGAGAAAATGATTCTTCATGCTCCCTCCTAACCATACTTTCACAATTTGAGCTTGATGAATCTGGACATTATCATCCTGTAATATGACCATGACGTGTCTTCCTACATGGTTGTTTAAGATATGAAAAGCTACACTCTCCATCAATTAGAGTTAGAAGAACTATTGCCAAACAACATGCTTGAAACATAATAATCACAGAATAAATGATCAAATCATGTATTCTTAAGTATTTGCCTATTTAAATCCAAACAGCAACTGCAGTGTATATATATACATACAGTATATATATATATATATATATTGATACAAATACCAGTTTGCGACATCAAGCAGCATAATAAGCTGGTTTTGTACAGACATAATAACTGGAAGCAGCTGCAGCCTTGCAGATTTTAGTTAAAAATGGCCATAGCTGCTAGTTAAAGCTACACTGTGTGATTTTTACCCCCATCTAGCGGTGAAAAGGTATATGACCATCCAGTGAATATTAGTTTCTGTTCCTCTCAATGTAGTCCAAGATTAACATGGCTTCCAGTTCGACCTCATCCTTGATTGTTAACTCAAACATAAACAGGAAAGGCAAAGCTTGAATTAATGGGTATGTCCCTCTTTGGCTAATGTACTTTCAAGATGGACAGGCAACATGGCGACCGACTTTAGAACCCCTTACCCGTATGTATTTTCAATGGCATATTATACACTCACGAGAATACTTCATTACTTGAAAGAAGTAAATGTACATCAATGAGCACATATATTTTTGAAAGAACTGTTTTTAGCTAAAAAAATTTTTAGCTAAAGATAATTAATTAAATAATAAGAATAAAAAAAAATTATTCTTAGCTAAAAGTGTTTTTAGCTAAGAATAAACTAAAAGAGTTACACAGTGTAGCTTTAAGAAAAAAAAAGCATACTGTCTGGAAAGAGCAAAAAAAGGTACAGAGATAAAAACAGTGAAAAGGCAAAAGCCAATCAAATTCATGCACCAGAAGTTACATAATCTCTTCTTCTGAGGACAAAAAAAAAAAAGTGTTGTGGTTGCATTACATGGGAAGTTGCGTCTGAAGCAGGCCTGAGCTGCGATCATCCATTCTGCCCGTGTCTCACAGAAGATGGCGATGGTATTTTTTGGCCGTTGACCCAAAGCTGCCAGACCACTGCCAAAAGATTCCACTGCTTGGCCGACCGCTTCATAGGTCATCCAGCTGTATTCTCCAAGGACCACCTACAAACAAAAACACACCTTTATCAACTGTCCTGAACATCTTGACTGTGATCATCTGATACTGAAACAGAATTACCTGAATCATTGGATGAATTTACCTTCTTAAAGATCTTCCCATTGGCTTGTTTTTCTTCTTCTTCACCAAGGACTTCTCTGGTGCCGAGACAGGGTTCCTGACTGAATCTCTTCACAGCATGAGCAAAAAGTTTGTCCAGCGTGTCTACGCCCTCAAAGTCCTGTGTAGCGAGAGCATCTATGCTTTCTACCGCCCGATACGGCCCTTCTGGACGTCCACTTATACTCCGCGCTCTCACACACTGTGGCAACATGACCTACACACAACATACACAGACCAACTGATTTCCATATGAACATCAACTTACAAATAGTAACAAACAACACATGATAAGAATCTTCAGTTGTCTCCTACACCCTGAATTGGACCAGAAACCCCTCTGGGAGATTCACAAGACACAGAAAAACAGTTCGACATCCAGTAGACATGATGAACGATGAGGGGAAAAGAGGAAGAGTAGGATTTAGTTTCATGTGCGTGTGAATGAATGGCTGATTTAGGAACTACTTCACTGCAAACCTACCACTAACGTTCAAGAAACCCTGAGGAAACCTCAATAAACATCCGTGGTTGTGGCCGACTAAAGCTAGTATACAAACAAACTAAATGTTTACCCTGTGCAACACTCACACGCAACCAACACACAAAGATATCAGATCAAATTGAAATGGTTGTGTAGGCTATTTCTTGGCACAATTATTGAGGCTTTTTTAAAGTCTTATGTTACAAAGACTGCATTAATAGAGCAGTTCAATCTTGCTCTCAGAGTTGAACTCGTGTTTAAACTGAATAAACCACCAAAACCAGTTTTAGAAGCTTCACTTGAACGTTATATCGAAGAACTGATGCTTGCGAAGAAACAGAACATGCACAAACACACATGCTCCACCGGCATGAGTTGAAATAATACTATCCAGGAATGCCACTGTTTCCAAACTGACGATGACATCACAGTTTGGAGGCATTCGAGCAGCGTGTTCAGGAAGTCAGATGACCACTTAAACATCTGGAAAAACTGTCCAAGAAGACTGAGTTAACTTTTAGACACACATCCTGTACGATGATATCACCTTTATCTGGCATGATATATAGCAGACGTATAGCCTTCTGAATCAGAGAATCATTATTTTGGTTCATTGGTGGTTTGGTCTGTTTGTGAAGCAAAAGTTTGGGTAGAGTCAAGATTTTTACTACTTACATTCAGTTGCTTAAAGAAAGTATGTATTAAACAGACGAAAAGGGAACGTAAAGAACATTGTTATAAATGTATATTTACATATACAGTATATTAAATGTATAATTATATACTCAAATCTTCTATTCTTTAAAGCACACCTCAAAACCTTTCTGTGTAATGATCATTTCTCCACAACAAACTCATAGCTTTACACAGACAACTGTCTTTGTTGCATTGTTTTGGTTGTTTGCTGTTGTTATTTTAAATAGTTAAATTAAACAGTCTGCATGAGGTATGTTTTCACAATATTACTGATCAAATAAATGCAGCATTGGTGAGCATAAGAGGCTTTAGTAAAAAATAAAATCCATACAGACCCCAAGAATTTGAATAATAGGCTCTATTATTTATATTTTTTTATTATTTATTATAGTTTTTTTTATTTTTATAACAAAATATAACAGTGGCACTTTATATAAGGTTTTGATTGAACTAACATAAATAATGAACAATTGCATTTTTCAACATTGACAAAGATTAATGAATGTAGTATATTGCTTGTTGTTAGTTCATGTTAGATAATAACACACCCATTTTTTATTTATATATTTAAAAAAAAATAATGTGATAATGTAATTTTGCCATTACCACGTGACTTTAAGCTAAAACTTTATATTTTGTGTTAGCAAAATATAAATCAGTTTCTGTAAGACTTTCTGTAATTGAGGAATTACATGATTGTGACACTTAAATAATTTCCTTTCATAAACAATTGGGAAAGGAGCTATTATTCTTTAATAATCAAAAGTAACATATATAATACATTGTCACTTTTGAAACAATCAACAAAAAAGATTAAGGTTTAAGGTGGACAATGGCTTAATATACTAAGAAGTATACTAATTAGGTCCAATCTGATTTTCCATCAAACAAAAAGTAAATAACCTGTCTTTGAATGTTTCTGAATTCACATATGGAACAGAAAGTATTTTATCTACATTAATATCTTACAAGAGTTTACACCTCATATCTGCTCTCCGCTAAAACACTTCAAAAACATCAGCAGTGCAGATAAAAATTATAACATTACTGTAAACAACTGAAAAAGAAAGCTATCTTCATTCAGACAAACATGAAACCCAGGGCAAAAGAACTGTAAGTGTAATGAAATCTTACCTACAAATAAACACTGTGGACAGCAGTTCTTCTTTTACTTCTTCAGACAGACGGCAAACTGCAACAGGAGGTTTCGGCTTCCCCTTTTCTCTCTCTCTCTCTCTGTATCCGTCTCTAGTTCTCTTGGCTGATTGGATGCCTTTTGTAAAGTTTCAGTAAACCTCATTTTGAGCCCACCCGCTGGCCACAGCCAATCAGAAGACAGATCTGTGGAGGAAGTTCTGAGGTTTAGAGGGAATATCAGGAGGTGTTTCCTTTACACACGTAGTCTTGACAGTTTTTCCTTTAACTCACTTACACAATCATACACGTCAGTGCTAAGAGCTTACTCAAATTTTGAAGAACACAGTTCTATTACTCAGACACCCACTCTGGTGATGCACATTTACTGTTGCAAGAAAAAAACTTGAATAATCACTGAATTATGTGGTCATGGTTCACACAGCTACCAACTCAGAACAGGTCTGACCAGTAAATGTGCCATTAACTTCAAGATTCATTAACTTTGACTACATAAATACATAACTGACTGATGCTTGTGGGCTTCTAACGTTGTCCTCACCATGACACAACCACAACCAACCATCCTATGGTTTTAACTCGGTTACAGACCGTTTGTGTGCTATCAGGACATCTAAACGCATCCTTCAGGGCTGGTTTTCTTTCAAAGGAAACAGTTGGGACTACTAATATTAGACAAACCGTCCATACAGAAGCACAGTTCTGATGCTATGTACAGTCTTTCAAAGAATTATTAAGGCCAAACATAGGAGGATGGGTATCCTCTTTCAACTCTGGTTTCTCACAAGAGTTTTTCTATGACACTGTTGCCATTTTCTAGCTCACTTGGGATGGGGGAAGGCATGCTACTTAGTACAATTGCTTTGGGCATTTACCATTGTTAAAAATCCTAAATAAATAAAACTGCATTGAATGGAGTGAATAACCTGCTGAAATTGAAAGCTGAAATTACAGGCGGGTACAGAATAGAAAGTCCTTGTGAAAGAACAGGGGTCAGGTTGTTTGGCATTGTCAGATCTGCTCTACTGATTCAAAGCGGCTCTGCTTCAGATACTTCCACAAAAAAAAAAACGTTCTGACCAGAGCAATAAAATGTGTAATAATTAATATTGTGATATGAATACAATCAGGTCCAACATAGTAACAGGTCATTCTGACTACGAATAAAAACACAAAGATAAAGACAGACACACTTTCAAAGGATTAGTGAAAAGTCGTAAAACATGACTTAACGGGTCCACAAAGTAGAAAGAAGACAATAAGCATTCTTTTTTTTTAATTCTGTTTATTGGTACATTTCTATTACAGAGCAACTACTGAATGGGAGCCCACAAAGACCATATTTCAAAAAGAAGTACATGTAAAACTCACTAAAGGAAAAAACTTTTACAAATTGCTGAAATACAAATCCATAACAGGACATCTTATTTAACATATTTCTCCATGAATTTCTTGTGAAATTCAGAGCGCAGTGTGTCATTAATGAAGCGCTTTTCTTTGCGTGATTCATCCACTCCTTTAGCGCAGTTCTTAAACACGACATCATCATCCCACCTGCCAAAAACAGAATATGTTTATGTGGAGCTGTTGATATTGCTGGACTCAAGAGTACAGAAACTACCACACTATTACTATGCAACATAACAATTTGTGAAATTAGTTTTTTTTAGTGTTGCATAATCTTATATTTAACCATTTTTTTTTTGCTTTGGGTATAATCCTGCAACATGAGATTGAAGGTTTAAAAGGAGAAGACCAAACAATCTTGTTACTCATTTTTTTCCACCACAAAATTACCTTCTTTTCACAGTGAATGTGTTCTGGATCTGCGTTTGTTGTTGTTGTAGTTGTTGCTGTTGCTGCTGTTGCTGGCCTGCCAGATTAAGCAGTGGATTCCCACTCAGAATGTTCTCCATACGTATCCTCTCCTCTTCTGCTTTCTGCTCCCTTTCCTTAATCACACACAGAACAACAAAAACAGTGAAGACTCAAGCCAAAAAGATATCAAGCCAAAGAAAGGGATAGATCAAGAATCAATTGCAATTTGATTTAATTCCAATCAATTTATATTAGATAAATTAGGATATATAAGGCAGTTTTTATAATACAAAAATAACTATAATATCCTTATAGTAAGCTGCGTTTCCATTACAGATTTGCGCAAAACGTTTGCAATATTTTCCAAATGTCGATAAAAAAAAACTATTGCGAAATTACGGCGTTTCCATTAACCGATGTTATGCGACTGAAACGTAATTCTTTGCTCTCGCAATAAGTCATTACAAAAATCATGGCAACGGATGTTACTAGGTTTAGCCACCGCACTAGCCATTACTTTTAATCGAAGGAGACATAGGCATGTTATCCAAGCATTAATGGCAAGGAAAGCCCCTTATACTGGGGAGTGGCTGCGTAGGACGTGTTTCTCCCTCATATCTGCTTTGAGGTCTTGATAGTGGTATTTCTTAGGGGGTTAAAATCCAGTATTCCCATAATTCATTTGTCTTTTATGAGTTTAATAAAGAACTCCGTCTCGTCTTCAGTCCAAACACACCACGTCATCTACGTCAGGTGACCTGTAAATGAGCAAAACCGTTTCCATTGCAGTTTTGCCAAATATTCCTTTTTCGAACTGCCTGAAAAACAAACTCATGCGAGCGTAATTATTATTTCGCGATATATGGGAGTTTTTTGCGAAATTGGGTCCCACTTTATATTAAGTGGCTTTAAGTACTATGTACTTACATCGAAAAATAAGTACAATGTACTTATTTTGTTCAGATTGTATTGTAAAACACTTTTGTTGCTATTGAGGTGTGATACGGGTAAGGTTAGGGTTAGGTGTGGTTGTATAGGTCGGTTTAAGGGTAATTACATTTATTAATTACAGCTGTAATTACATGCAGGTATTTTCCAAATATAAGTACAATGTAAAAACATGTATGTACACAATAAGTCCATTGTATCAAATTATTAATTTCAATGTAAGTACATAGTACTTAAAGCCACTTAATATAAAGTGGGACCCGAAATTGAAATGTTTCCGTTGGCCGTATTTTCAATTCGTGCAATTTAAAAGGTAAATGGAAATGCAGCTAGTGACAATTATGGTTCTACACCAATTTGGTTTTGAATAGGGCTGTGCAAAAGTTAATTGCGATTAATCGCATCCAAAATAAAAGTCTGTTTTACATAATATATTTGAGTGTGCTGTATATAATTATTTTGTATATATAAATACCTATGCATGCATGTATATATTTAAGAATTATTTGCGCTTAAATTCTGTATATATATATAAATACATAATCTATATTATATAAATATAAATATTTTATATAGGAATAACACATTTTCTTAAATATATACATGCATGTGTGTGTATTTATATATACAAAATAATTATATACAGCACACACAAATATACTATGTAAACACAGACTTTTATTTTGGATGCGATTAATCGCAATTAACTTTTGCACAGCCCTAGTTTTGAAATATAAACATTTGTACTGTGACTGTTTTCATGATAGATTCATTTAAAGAATCATTAAATACTGAGGAATTTATTAAGTACATACATACATAAAATGTATTATAGTGCAAAATGCTCCTCTCTAGAGTTTAAGGGGTAGTATAATGCCCTTTTCACAAGATATATATAAAGAAAATATCTGATGTCCCCAGAGTGTGTGTGTGAAGTTTTAAGTCAAAATACCCACAGATATTTTTATACAGGATGGTAAAGTTATCTCTTTATGAGGGTTAGCAAAAACCACCATTTTGTGTCCTTTTAATGCAAAAGAGCTGCAGCTCCCGACACAGTGGGCGGAGCTTAAAGACAAGAGTGTAGGTGTGTGTGTGTGTTAGCAGCTCTGATTACCTCATGCAGACACATGCTAAAATGTCAGAAACTGTTCTGCCTTTAATGTTTAAACCAAAGTCAGACAAAGATTGAGAGACTAAGATGTGACAACATGTAGAATGCCTCTCTGAAAGGTTAGTTGATGAATTTATGTTGCTGATGTAGAGTTAACTATCTTCAATTAACATATTCTGTCAGGATAATCTATAAAATCGCTTGTATAGGAACTGTTGTGAGATGCACACAGTGGGTCTCTGCACGAGCAGAATGAATTTTTGTGTAAATCGTGTGTAAAGTGGTTCTGGCGTAAATTTTTGGATTCATTAAAATGTTCGTATTTTCCAAATGTTAGTTGGTAGGAAAGAAATCTACATCTGCTCCCAGCCACGCGTAAATGGTGCGCTTAACACATCCGAACGTTTTGCTCATTAATAAGGCTGCATTTTAATTCTCCTTAATCTGGCAGCTACATATTTAAACAGCATTTTGAAAAAAATATTTTATATAGTAATTACATATGTTTTTTTCTTTTTGAGAAGCCAGTAATAGCAGATTGGTGATCGATGGCGGTCCTTCTCCAGTTTGAATACGATTTTTCCGAAGTGAACTAATTCGTTTTTTGCTGTCAAGCTTAATGTCAAACCATTTTCTTCTCACTTCTGGGACTGTTCGATTAACAGATGAAACTCCATTAACTGCATCTGTAATATGCTGCCAACTTCCTTTTTTTAGGACCTGATAGACCACTATGTACGCTACGCTTGAAAATAAAATGTGGCGTTTTGAATGAACTTCTGATAATAAAACTTCAATTTCTGCATTCGAGAACTTTCTTTTTAATTCACATTCATGTTATTATATGCCTATATATAGATGTCAGTCGGATATAATGGGCCTCATTTATGGTAATTGAGAATGATCGTGCACGTGCATCCCATTTACGACAGGTTGGAATTCATTAACACACACACACATTTCACAATCACATCTGACGTTTACGAAGTATTTGTGAATCAGGAGAAGAATTTTCGGGAAGGTCTCTTTACGCGCAAATCACTCTCATATTTACTTGTATATTTACGAATGTTTCATGAATGAGACCCAGTGACATTCTATTGCATGTGAAAAGAAGGATGCTACAGTTTGAGCTGACTCACAAATGTGCTTGATTACAACAGCTCTTCCTCTTCTCAACATGGACTGCATGTACCCAGGGGCGGGGTTTATGTAAATTTTAGGGTTAGTGACGTCACTAACCCGGGAGGAAACTCATGTAGTTCCTACCAAAGTCTAGAAATCTTTATTTTTAACCCAGCACTAGCTGAAATTATTTGATGATATAAAAAAAAATTTGGTCATAATTGGTAAGTGAGGCTCACCTTCTTCTCCTGCTCCTCAGCTCGCTCCTTCTTGATCTTCTCCAGTTCAGCCAGCAGGGCGGCAGTGTCATCATCACTGTCAGAGCCGGAGTCAGAGTCATCTTCATCCTAAAACAAACAATTCATTTAAACTGCAGCCAAAATCAATCCGTATGCCCCAAACAAGTATATATAAAAAAGTGTCTGTACATCAGTGAGGGGATCGTCAGCATCCAGGTTGGCCGCAGGAATCTGATCTAGACGTGGCCGCTTGGATGAGGATGAAGACGATGACGAAGAAGTTGTGTGCTCTGAAGGAAACAGGAAAGGATCATGGTCAATGAACACATCTTGACTGAACAAAGCCACAAAACAAAGTCACATGTACATGCTTCTTCACCTCTTGCTCCTCTATCTCTGCCCTTAACAGCAACTCTCTCCCTCTCCTCCAGCTCACGTCTGAAATCACGAGCTCTCACCTCTTCTGGAGCATCCTGAGTGGGCTGCCTGCAGGGACACAAGTATATCAGTTTTTTAATTCTGCATGAAACTATCACACAATCATTGAGTCCACAAAAAGAAAAAAGAAAGTCTCTAAACAGCAACTTCACCTGTATTTGATCTTGGTGTGTCCTGGCAGGTCTCTGCTGGAGTATTGTTTGGACAAAGCACTCAGATCACCCTCTCCTTTGCCCCGTCCTCCTCGTGCGGGCTCAAACGTTGGCCTTGCCGCTGTTGTCATGTTTAGTTACCTAAAACAAATGATTTATAACATCAACTTAATGAAATGACATCTTCATTCATCTTCAAGTGTCTGATAAAGTTTAGAAGTGTTCTACACTATGGAGATTTCATATAAACACATGAAACATGCTTTTAACCAGAGTTATAAAAATACAAAATTGCATTTGGGCACAGAATAATGTTTTATTTTTATTTTTTAAGGAAATATAGACATTATTTACTGAATGTTTCTTTTGGCACTAGAATGAGTAACTTATGTCGAAATTAAAGATAACATATATGATCCTCAATGTATGTAATAACGCATTGATGAGTTATTTCAGGATCATGTATGCCAATTCAGGATTTCATGATATTTGTTTCTGTTTCTTTTTATTGAGTCTAAACAAAGAAAATATTCCAAAGTTCCTTGTTTTTAGAATTTTGATAATGAATATGACAGAACACACGTGCAACGCCGTTTTAACGGTCTGTAATGTTGACTGTTTCTATTTTTATGTTCTCGATAAAAACATGCTCGCTTTACGTTACGTTACTTGTGTTACATTATTTTACACTCACCTGGAGCAGGACGATATTAATCCCGAGTATAAATCTGAAATTATCGACGAGAAAACAAATTAAACGTACTAACACTAAACAACTAACTAAATCAAGCGAGTTTGTATTTTTATTTGTTACGATTAGCTCTTCTGTTATTGCTCATCACTTATATCCCATCAGCCACCGCGACATGCACAGTGCACTACGGTCACGTGCATAGACAGTAAGGTCACGTGTATGTGGGGCCACGGTGGCCGCAGCGGGACAAACGTTGAGTCTTCTTCTTCTTCCTTTTTCGTGCATTACCGCCACCTACTGTGAACTTGATCCAGAGACTTCAAGCAAACATTTCCCATCCTTAATCACTATATTAAACATGTTTACTATAGCCAGCGCTGCGTGTTCAGCTCCTCTGGCTAAAATAAATAAATAAAACACTTTCAAATCCTGTCAATTAATCCTGTATTTTCCAAAAATCTAAATAAAGCTTCTTATTATGATTATCCTGTTCTGGTTTTAATATGATTCTCAAAGTTATATCAGTTTCCTATTTTCTCTGAATCTCTTCAAATAATGTATCTCTATCCTCTTTATATCTTTCACAATACATGATAACATGCTCTACTGTTTCTTCCTCTCCACACCATTCACAAAGTCCTGTTGGATGCTTGGATATTAATTTCAGTGTTTTATTAAGTCCTGTATGTCCTATTCTAAGTCTTGATAATATGTTATCCTCCCTTCTACTTCCCAAACCCAAACGTTGAGTCGAAAAAACGAGAATCAAATAAACTTCATGACAACACGGACCCAACCTATTGTTGTATATGTAACGAAAAACGTTTTATATTGTTGTTGCGGAATGTTAGACATGGACTACTGACACCTAGCTGCGTGGATGAAACATCGCACAAAAATGTGCGGTTACCTATGTCTGTTAAAGATGAGTACTTGGCTTTTACGGTCTATGGTACTTTGGAGAAATACTCATAAATACTCTGTTCCGTCAGCCATTTTCTCACAAGCGAATTAAACAGATCTTACCAAAATAAACAAATCATATTTGGTTGGTCATGTGAGAACCTTTTACGGTCTGGTGAGAACTCATGATGTCGGCCCCCATGAGGCGACCCGCTGTGTGAATGCTCAGCATTTATTTCTTAATCATGAACTGTGTTTAATTCGTTATTTTGTCATGCTACTTTTCAGAACAGGATCATCTAGCAGGTTTTGCAATACCTGAATAAAACGAGGCCACCTCTCCCCTGAGGCTTTGATGACACTGTTATGACAACAAATTCAGTACAGAGATACAGACCTGTCAAAGTCGTGGACTCAGCCGCTTATTCAACTGAATTGCAACAGTCTAAAATGAATTAATGTGCCTGCTTATTAAAAACCAAATTGTAAACAAAACTAACCTAAACTGACAGTAAGAGTACACTTGGAATAGTATTTATAAAACTCTAATGTTAAAGTATAAGAACCTTGCACCATTTCACCAATTTAATGCATCGATAAGGATACGCATACAAACTGAGGTTTTTACCAGCTTTAATATTCCTGAAACATCTGTTGCAGAAAAAAAAAAGTACAAAAGTGTCTGACAGTAAAAATATGCAAATGCATGGGACATAAGAGAGGCTCACTCACTAAAACAGCAGCATCTCATACAGGCCTGCAAAATTCATCTCTGAAATATCACTAATACGAAGCCAAACAAAACAGAGTGATTAATTAATATACAAAAGCACACAGTTGACCAGGCAGTAAGACATGCAATAATACAGTCTTTCCGTGTGTGAGAGAGAGAGAGAGAGAGAGAGAGAGAGAGAGAGAGAGAGAGAGAGATGAATTGAGCATCTAAAAAAAACTGTTCAGTATATCAGACAAGTTCAATTCATAACATTTCCATTTATTTGTTGACAGCACTTTCTGGTTCCTGTCAGAAATGTTTTGCATATGAGATCTGAGGCTGTGATCAGCCAGGGCTCCTGAAATGGCTCTATACAGTTCTGTCTGTTTTGTAAATATGCATGATTACTAAATCCGCTGAGAACAGCCAAGGAAAACAAACAAAAAATTATAATAATAATTGATTTTTGCATATGTGACATCAGAATAATAAAACACAACACACAGAGAACCTGTGAGCAATGGAGGGTGAAACTTCCTCACAGTAATGACACATCAGGGAAAGAGGTCATTGTAATGGCGTGAGGTCATTGCTATGGTAACAGCAGTGAGCTACTGCTGCGGTCAAACTTCTTGCCTTTCGAGAGTGCAGCAACCTGTTTCAACAATTCTCTATTCTTCCCCTGAGAGACAAACACAAACCCACAGTTAGTCAATTATACATGCATACAATTTAAAAGTTCTCTCTCTAAAGGATGCAATAATAAAAAAATAATAAAAAAAGATTTATTATTTTAAGATTTTTTAAAAATATTTTAAAATAGATTTATATAATTTAAAAGACTTAAATTAAAAAAAAAAGATAAATCAACTTTCTAGTCATTGAAAAATAAATAATATATATATTATGGTTAGGTTTTTACAAAATTATTACACAGCACAATAATTGTGGTGTGTAATGTTTTTACAATGATAATATTATTGAACAATTATTAATTTATAGAACAATTGTTGTTTTCATCATTGATAATATTAAGAAATGTTACTTGGTCATCATAAAATGATTTCTAAAGGATCATGTGACACTGAAGTTTGGAGTAATGGAGTAATTCAGCTTTGCCATTACAGGAATATATTACATTTTAAAATATATTCAAATAGAAAAAAAAAAATATTCACAATATTACTGTATTTTTGAGTCATTCAGCTTTGGTGAGCATTAAAGACTTCTTTCAAAGTACTCCAGTTTCAACAATGACACAATACTGACTGATAATGACAATTACTGTTACCAGTTAAATTCATTAATTAGTATGAGTGGTGATTTGAGTTTGTTTTAAACAAGCTTCTGTGGCTATTTATTTCTTGGCCTAAACATTTCACGTTTTTACCATTTATTTTTCACCAAAAACTCTTAAATTATATTTGGTTTAACTTTCATTTCTTCAGAAGAGTAAACCGAATGAAAAAGGTTTCTCACTGGGTTAAAGCAGCACAATCTAATAAAACATGCTTCAATGATAAAGAGGTTTGAAAAAGAACATGTTGGTGGATCTTCTAGTATTAAAACTTGTGTCATCCTGGAATGGCCTATTCTGCAATGGGTATAAACAATCTGGTCCAATCGGTTTGAAATTTGATAGAAACCTCTTCCATCATTGGGGCTAATATCACGAAGTTTGTTCATAGTGTATAGATCACTTTCTCTTTGCCATTTGTTATTAATATAGACATTAACTATTGATCAATAGGATGTACTGTGAAAATTTTGACGCCTGCTGATGTGGTGATTTGAGTATTGGAGAGTGTGTATGGTGTAAGTGACCTGTTGTTGTTCCATGGCCTCTTTGTGTGCTTTCTCCATGTTGTTCATCTTCACCCGCATATTTGACTCCTGATACTGAAAGTCTGCCTTCAGCTCTGTCAGCTGAAACGTAAACAAATTCAGAAAAAGTTCTTTACAAACTGTATTAGCAACACTGCATAGGAAGTTCAATTGGAAATTGTTTTGCAACTCAAAGAAATACACCACAGTCATACAACAAATGCAAACCCTTATCTACATCAATATAATTTTTATATCTTCACACTTACAGACTTCTAATAACAGCTTAACCATTCAGCATAATTATCATATACGCCAGCAAAAGGACTGTGATGTGGGTGGCTGATCACAGACAGCAGGATGAAAGTTGGAAAAGAGTCTAAAAAAATGTTAATTAACACGTTTATGGATACATTAATCTCCATGTACCATTTTATGCATCTCATTTTAGAGTTTGTTATACAACCCCAAATCAGAAAAAGTTGGGACATTCTGTAAAATGCAATAAAATCAAGAATCTGTGATTTGTTCATACTATTTAACCTTTTATTAGCTGGCAAAAGTACAAAGAAAGGTTTTCCAATGTTTTCAACTGACCAACAAAATTGTATTTTGTAAATATGAAAAATTTTTGATGGCTGCAACACACCCAAAAAAGTTGGGACAGAGACCAAATAAAAGTGATGACTTGGTAGTAGTTGAGGGTATCATATTTGGGTGTAAAAGTGCTTCTCAGTCTTTTTAAGTAAAGATGGGTCATGGCTCATCACTTTGTGCCAAATATCTTGAGTCACATTTGATTGAAAAATCACATTTCTCAATGCAAGATTGCAAAGCATGTATGCATTTCATCATCTTCCATACATAATATTGTCACAAGATTCAGGGAATCCAGTCTGTGTTGGGTAAGGCAGTAGACCTGTTGAATGTGCATGACCTTTGAGCCCTCAGATGGCACTGCACAAGATACCATCATCATGCTACTCTGTCAAATACAGCCACATGTGCGCAGAAGTAATTTGGAAAACCATTTTCACTGTGGAGCAATCTGACGCTGCATCAAGAAATGCCACTTGAATCTCTGTTACGCAAGGAGAGAGCTTTACATCAGTTCAATCCAGAGATGCTGGTGAGTTCTCTTGGCCCGAGCTCATCTCAGATGCTCTAGAAGAAAGTGGAAATGTCTGCTGTGGTCAGATGAGTCCGTGTTTCTGCTTGTTTTTGGGAGAAAATGGAATCGAGTCCTCAGTCCCAAAGACGAAAAGGACCAACCAGACTTTCACCAGCGAGCGGTGCAAAAGCAAACATCTGTACGGTATTGACGTGCATCATTGCAAACGGTATGGGTAACTTGCATTATTGTGATGGTGCCATCGACGTGGATGCATATTAGGATTGTACAGAAACATAAACTGCCAACAAGATGACAACTGAGAGGTTTCTAGACACTCCGCACCATAGAAGAGATGTGCCTGCCTGTTTACTGCAGTTCAGATATGTCTCTTATGGAAAATGTATGACCAATCATGAAAAGGAGAATTAGGCAATGATGACCACAGACTTTTGAGCGGCTGTCTTGTATTAAACAAGATTGGGCAAATATTCCACTAGCAAAACTACAACAATTAGTATCCTCAACTCCCAAATGATTAAAAAGTGTCATTAAAAGGAAAGGTGATGTGACAGTGGTAAACATGCCTCTGTCCCAATTTTTTTGGGGTGTGTTGCAACCACCAAAATCAAAATTTT